TCTTTTAATAAGAAATTCTCCATCATGGGAACGAAATTAGCATGAAATTTTATACTTAAAAGCTATCATCATTATTATAGAAATTCTCCATCATGGGAACGAATTAGCATGAAATTTTATACTTGAAAAGCTATCATCATATATATGTAGACGGTAAAAATCTACGGTTACAAAAAGATGACCTGTGAGATTGAGGACATTAACAACTCGCTGGACCTGCACACAAGGAGAAACAAGCGTGAAACTTTCAGGAAACACTAGGGTGTGTTTTCCGTAGGCACTTCAACACTCAAGTCAGCAAGGTTGAAAGATGCAATTTGTAAGGATTAAGGGAAATAAGGATTATCGGGAGTTTTGTCAAAGACTAGAGCTAGGATGAAGGTGTATATTTCTAGGAGTAAGAACTTTAGGAGCAAGTCGGTGGTAATGATATTGCATCTTTGTGAGAGGACAAGCCTCTATTTATATAGTGAACCCAAAAGTTGGAATCCTAATAGGACTCTAAGTCATTCTTTGGGAGATAGTCTTCATTAGAAAGAATAAGATTCTTGCCTTTATCAGATTAAGCTTACCACTTTTATTAGATTCAGGATCTTGACTGAAGTGGAAACAGAATAGGATATGATTCCTATTTATGGACTGTTGTGGACTAATGGGTTGACCTAGTTTAGCTTACCTCGTAACTCGTAAGATAGTTCAACTTATATAGTAAACAATTCTCCAAGTGAATTTAGGCGTAGGCCCAATCGGAATTGGGTTAAGGCATTGGGTCGTAACATGTTTACTTAGAGACGATTTATCCCATACATATTTAAAAAAAAAATGGTATTGAAAATTGAAAATACTTTATTTCGATTTTTTTATTTCTAAAATACTAAAATAAGTTTAATCTATGATTAAAGAAACAAATTTGTATAATGAATGAAGAAAAATGGTTGGTTTTATTTGTTGCTCTATAATCCAAAGATGTCCTAATATAAGAACATGATCAACTCTTCTTCTTCTTTGATCTTCTTTCATTTTCATAGTTCAAGTTTAAACAAAGAGAAATATGTAGTTAGCTCAGCTCAATGTAGCTTAGCATTCACATCGACAGCTTCAAGTTAGTTAAGGTTCAATTGTTATTAGCTGTTACTACTTTTGAACAAATAGAATAACGAAAACCAAAATAATAGTAACACACAAACCATAAACAGTAAAGAGAAAGAAGAATACGCATGATTTTACCCTAGTTCACTCAATTAACAGGCTAGCCCAATTGAGTCAATGTTATTGCAATACTGTTTCAATTCTCTCTCATTTACAATGAAGGTAACTTACACAAGGAAAGAAGTTTATATTCTAGATTTAAAAAACTAAATCCTAGTATTACAAGGATCTATATTCCTAAGCTCAAACACATAAAGAATTAATAACTTAAAAAATCTTTTTACGGTTATACATGGAAAATGCTCAAACCACCTATAAGTTGGGACCCTGAATGCGTTTGCATGACCCATTAATGATAAAGTGGTCGACAACTCTAACACTTTACAGTAATTTAAAAATAGATAACATTATATTTATCAATATTTTATTAGAATTTGATTTGTAATGATAACTATCTAAAATTGATAAATAAATTTCATTATCTTATACTATACAGTAACAATCACTTATGAAAGTAAAAAGTAAAAAAAATTAATTTACTTATTTTATTCATGAACCTAAAGCAATAAAAAATAAAGAAAAAAAACCTGTCCCTAAGATGCCCACGGTGTATCACAGATTGTCAAAGTCAAGAAAGAAATATGGCAGACAACTCTGCTAAAGTAGAATAATGGAGAGAGACTAAGAAAAAGAATCAGTTCATAATTGTAATGAATTTCCACCAAGTTCCTAGGTTGCTGGTATTTTCTCTACAAGAGTGATAAAGAGAGAGAAAAATCGGGTAAAGCAATTCTGCATCGGCTCACTTGTACAAAAACACCCTCAAAGATGTAAGATTTTTACATTTTTTTAGTTTCTTTTGAAATATTACTTAATACATTTCTCATTATTGTTCTCCAAATATTTTTTGGAAATAATTTTACAGTGCAACCGCTTTTAGTTCATATCTGGCTTCACATACTTTCTCTGGAGCAATTACATCTCACTGCAAAACATAAGATCTGGATCCCTTTGTTAGTTCAGTAACAATATACTTGGGTTTTTTTTTTTTTTTTTTTTTATATTATATCTATTTTTCTTTAATTTTATAATTTTTTGAAAATGATTCATCTATGTTTCAAACAGTTGAACTGTATCAGAGTTAGTTGAAGATTTACTGATATTAGAGCGTCTAAAATTTGTTTCCATTGGTTGGAACGTCAGATCCGAACTTCCAAGGCTAACTAAAAGGAGGTAAGTAGCGCCTTTATTATTTCCTGGATTTGTTTGTTTTCTCTCCTTATAACTACTTATTCACATCTCTTTTAATTTTTAGATGGTAAAAGGTGATATCATGTTTTTTAATTTATAATTAAAAAGATAATACAATAATCAAATATTTTTCTTTGTTTTCTCTATTTTCAAGATTTATTTATCAAAAGCAGAAAGTTTTTTTTTTTTTTTTTGTTATTGTTATTAATGATTTATATATCATTTTAATTTTGTTTTTAGAATTACTATAAATATTAATGAAGTATTTAATAATTATATTAAATCATAATTTTTATTTTGAAAATCTATCGAAGTGTGTGTATGAAATAAGGATACTGCAAACCCTTAAAAGTTGTATGTTTCTCACTCTCTTTGATTTCTTAAATCTATTTTTTGTTCTTTTTAATATAGTTTAATTAGTTTATATATGTATTTTTGGTTAGCTTATTTGATTTTTTATACCTAATTTTTTCTTTTTTTTTTTTTTATTATATTTTTACCAAACAGATGCATTTATGTTTCAAACAAGTTTAATTTTGTTGATTTCTTGATACTCATAGTCTCTCAAACCAGTGTGATCTTCAATTTCCAATAGCTGTGCAAATCTGATCTTCTAGGACTAATTAAAAGGTACGTGGCCTTTTTATTTTTGTAATTTTTTTTTTTTTTTTTTTTTTTGTAATATTGCTTCACTTGTCTTTTAATTTTTATATAATTAAAAGTAATATCATTTTTTTTAATTTATACTAAGAAGTAATAAAAACAAAAAAAAAAAAAAAACTTTTGTCCTGTTTTCTATTTTCAAGATTTATTTAACAAAATCAGAAAGTAATTTTTTTTTTTGTTTTTCATTAATTTTTTTTTTTTTTACTTTTAAAATAAATCATTTTTTGGTATATTAATTATGCATTTAATTATTTTATATTATTATAATAATATTTCAAAGAGTTAAAATGGGGAAAATTATTAAACTAAGACTTCTAATTACTTTAATTTTTTTTTTTTCTCTTATTCATTAATTGTCTACAAACTTAAACAGATCTGAAAAGTCTTTCATCAGTGGAGTTTGATGGCGCTTCTTCATCTTCACCACTCCTCAATTGAAGAACTATGATGTCTTTCTTAGTTTCAAGGCCAAGACACCCGCTATAATTTTACAAGCCATCTCTATGTGGCTTTGTGTCGCAAAAGATTGAAACTTTCATGGATGACCAACTGATAAGAGGAGAAGAGATTTCGTCATCTCTTTTGAATACAATTAAAGCATCAAAGATTTCTGTCATCATTTTCTCCCAAAATTATGCGTCTTCAGAGATGGTGTCTCCAAGACTTGAACAATTCTTGATTGCAAGAAAACGAAGCAGCAGATTGTACTACCATTTTCCATAAGGTAGACCATCTCATGTAGGCATCAGAAAGAGAGTTTTGGGAAGGGATTTGCTGACTTCAAGACCGTTTTAAGGAACAGCCGGAGATGCTGCAAGGATGGAAGAGTGCGTTGAACGAAGCAGCTAATCAATCTGGTTGGACTATAGATGCAAAAACGTAAGTGTTAATCTGCATATATTTTGTACTCATCATATTACTTTCTTTTTTAAAATCTAACAAGATCGGTTATTTAAAATCTTTGTATGGTTTTTGTGATCTTTTTTTCCTGTCTCCTTTTGATTTTCTATCCTAACTAATTAATGTTCGATTTTTTTTTCTATTTACTAGGTCTGAATCTGAACTCATAGATGAAATTTCATGTGATATATTGAAAGACTAAATAATTGTCTCCAAGTGGTTATGAAGACCTGGTTGGAATAGAATTTTCAATAAACAAAATAGAGTCTTTGTTGCACAAGGGATCAAATGGTGTTTCCAAAATAGGAATTGGGGCATAGGAGGTATAGGCAAAACAACTGTTGCTAGTGTTGTATTCAACAAAATCTTAAACGTTTGAAGGATGCTATTTTGCTGAAAATATTAGGGAAAGTCGGAGAAAAATAGTAGATTAGTTCACTTGAAAAAAGAAATTCTTTCCGTGATATTAAATGATAGAGATGCCATATAAGACTCACCTACTCAAGAGAAAGACTTCAAGACATAAGGTTCTTATTGTTTTTGATGATGTGACGTCTTCACAGCAAATAGAAGATTTGATTGGAAACCTTAACTGTTGAGCTCGGAAAGTCTAATTATCATAACAACAAGAGATAAACAAGTGTTGAGAAATTGTGATGTAGACGATGCTTAATATATGAGGTTGAGGGATTAAGAGAGAAGGAAGCTCATCGACTTTTTAATCAGTATGCCTTTAGACAATACCCTCGTACTACAGAATATATGAGCTATCAAAGAAAGCAATAGCATATTCTAAAGGCGTTCCATTGGCTCTTAAAATGTTGGTTTCCTATTTGCTTTCGAAGGAAATAGAAATTTGGAAAGTACAATAAAAAAACTAGAAAAAGGTCCTCTTTCGAGTGTTCATAATGTATTAAAAGTTAGTTAGTGATAGACTTGAGAAAGACGAAAAGATTATATTTTTAGATATTGCATGTTTCTTTAAAGAGGAACATATAGATTCATTGATAAAAACCCTAAATGCTGTGGCATTTTTGCAAAGCAAGGAATAAAAGATCTTATTGATAAGTGTCTTGTGTCCGTGAGATACGACAAAATAACAATGCATGATTTACTTCAAGAAATGGGTAGAGAAATTGCTCGAAATGATACTTGTAAAGAAATTCGATTGTGGCATCACGAGGATATCTTCGAAGCATTTGAAGAAAGATAAGGTAAGGGTTAGCTGTATGGATATTTAAATCGATAGATGGCTTGAGAGTAATCCGCTCACATGTTTACAAAAATTTTAAATTAAAGTCCCATTTAAGGATAAATTTAATGAGATATCATGGTGTTTTTATTATTATTATTACTATTGTTTTTATTATTATTATTATTTTATTTTATTTCTAATAAAGACTTATTCAATATTGTTATTTATTTTCAAATTGAATATTTATTATTTTCCTTTGATGTATGGACACAATCTCCTAATTCAGATTTTATATTAAAATAATGTGTCGTCTATACAAAGAAAGCATAAATACATCAAAAGGAAATATATCATGGATACATTCTATCTTCATATATATACATAATCTTACTTTTCAAGCATTATTGTTATGATTGTTATTGTTATTGTTATTATTATGTTATTGTATTAATATTATTGTTATTATTGTTATATTTATTATATTTTTAGATACCAATTAGTACTGCATATTTGAAATCCATAAATCTTTATTTGTTTTAGTCATCTCAATGTTTTTATTCATTATGAGAGTATTTGTATGTAAATTATTTATAATTTATTTTAAAAAATATATAAGTCGTTTAAGACGTATGAAGCTTAAATTAATTTAATAAGCTTTTGTATCTTTTGACTATTATTAGGAGATTGAAGCAGTACGAAGCATAAGCTTGGATATGTCTAAAATAAGCAATGCAAGGTTAGATTTTCGTGCTTTGTCAAAGATGCGTAAACTCAGATTCTTGAGAGTATACAACTCACAACACGGAGAAGACAATGCGCAGAGAATCTTTAGTTTATGCAATCATGGAAATGAGTTGAAAGTTTTTCAACACCTTCAATCCTTTCCCAATGGCCTAACATTCTTCAGCTTGAGTGGATATCCATTTAAGTCAGTGCCAAAACATTTTCTTCCAAAGACTCTTGTCAGACTTGATATGCCATTTAACAAAGTTAAACATTGGAATGGTGTTGAGGTATGTATTTTTGTATTTATATGGTGGTCTTTTTGTCAAAAATTAAAAATATACAAGGCACTAATTTGAGTTGGTCATTTGTTTGCTTTCTTGTAGGAACTTGAAAATTTGATAGATGTTGATCTTAGTTTCTCTCAACACATGAAAGAGCTTCCAAATCTCTCAAAAGCCACAAATCTTCAGTCATTGAATCTAAGTTATTGTAAAAGTTTGTTGAAGATCACTCCCTCATCTATTCAAAATCTCAATAAGCTTGTCAATTTGGATCTATACGGTTGCTCAAGGCTTATAAGTCTACCAGATGGCATTCAATCCGAACGTATTGATCTCAGTTACTGCAATGATCTGAAGATGGCTCCAAAGATCTCATGTAAGGTGGAAGTATTACTTTTAAGGGAAACTTCAATAAAAGAATCACCCTTCATCGAACAGCCATCGAGACTAGTTGAGTTGGATCTTTCAGAATGTTCATTAAAAGTTGTATGTTTCTCACTCTCTTTGATTTCTTAAATCTATTTTTTGTTCTTTTTTAATAGTTTGAATTAGTTTATATATGTTTTTGGTTAGTTATTTGATTTTTTTACTAATATTTTTCTTTGTTTTTTTTTTTATATATTTTTACCAAACAGATGCATTTATGTTTCAAAAAAGTTTAATATTTTGTTGATTCTTGATACTCATAGTCTCTCAACCAGTGTTGATCTTCAATTTCCAATAGCTAGTGCAAATCTGATCTTCTAGGACTAATTAAAAGGTACGTGGCTCTTTTTATTTTTGTAATTTTTTTTTTTTTTTTTTTTTTTGTAATATTGCTTCTGTTTTAATTTTATATTAATTAAAATGTAATCATTTTTTTTAATTTATAACTAAGAAGTAATATAAAACAAAAAAAAAAAAAAAAAAACTTGTCCTTTTTCTTTCAAGATTTATTTAACAAAATCAGAAAGTAATTTTTTTTTTTGTTTTTCATTAAATTTTTTTTTTTTTACTTTTAAATAAATCTTTTTTAGGTATATTAATATGCATTTAATTTTTATATTAACTTAAATAATATTTCAAGAGTTAAAATGGGGAAAATTATTAAACAAGACTTCTAATTACTTTAATTTTTTTTTTTCTCTTATTCATTAATTGTCTACAACTTAAACAGATCTGAAAAGTCTTCATCAGTGGAGTTTGATGGCAGGCTTCATCTTCAACCCTTCAATTGAAGAACTAGATGTCTTTCTAGTTTCAGAGGCAAGACACCCGCTATAATTTTACAAGCCATCTCTATGTGGCTTTGTGTCGCAAAAAGATTGAAACTTTCATGGATGACCAACGATAAGAGGAGAAGAGATTTCGTCATCTCTTTTGAATAAATAAAGCATCAAAGATTTCTGTCATCATTTTCTCACAAAATTATGCGTCTTCAAGATGGTGTCTCCAAGAACTTGAACAGATTCTTGATTGCAAGAAAACGAAGCAGCAGATTGTACTACCAATTTTCCATAAGGTAGACCATCTCTGTAAGGCATCAGAAAGAGAGTTTTGGGAAGGGATTGCTGAACTTCAAGACCGTTTTAAGGAACAGCCGGAGATGCTGCAAGGATGGAAGAGTGCGTTGAACGAAGCAGCTAATCAATCTGGTTGGACATAGAAGCAAAAACGAAGTGTTAATCTGCATATAATTTTGTACTCATCAATATTACTTCTTTTTAAAATCTAACAAGATCGGTTATTTAAAATCTTGTATTGGTTTTGTTGTCTTTTTTTTCCTGTCTCCTTTTGATTTTTTTATCCTAACTAATTAATGTTCGATTTTTTCTATTTACTAGGTCTGAATCTGAACTCATAGATGAAATTTCATGTGATATATTGAAAAGACTAAATAATTGTCTCCAAGTGGTTATGAAGACCTGGTTGGAATAGAATTTTCAATAACAAAATAGAGTCTTTGTTGCACAAGGGATCAAATGGTGTTTCCAAAATAGGAATTTGGGGCATAGGAGGTATAGGCAAAACAACTGTGTCAGTGTTGTATTCAACAAAATCTTTAAACAGTTTGAAGGATGCTATTTTGCTGAAATATTAGGGAAGAGTCGGAGAAAAATAGTAGATTAGTTCACTTGAAAAAGAAAATTCTTTCCGTGATATTAAATGATAGAGATGCCAATATAAGAATCACCTACTCAAGAGAAAGACTTCAAAGACATAAGGTTCTTATTGTTTTGATGATGTGCGTCCACAGCAAATAGAAGATTTGATGGAAACCTTAACTTGTTGAGCTCGGAAAGTCTAATATCATAAAAACAAGAGATAAACAAGTGTTGAGAAATTGTGATGTAGACGATGCTATATATATGGTTGAGGGATTAAGAGGAAGGAAGCTCATCGACTTTTTAATCAGTATGCCTTTAGACAATACCCTCGTACTACAGAATATGGAGCTATCAAAGAAAGCAATAGCATATTCTAAAGGCGTTCCATTGGCTCTTAAAATGTGGGTTCCTATTTGCTTTCGAAGGAATAGAAATTTGGGAAAGTACAATAAAAAAACTAGAAAAAGGTCCTCTTTCGAGTGTTCATAATGTATTAAAAGTTAGTTATGATAGACTTGAGAAGACGAGATTATATTTTAGATTGCATGTTTCTTTAAAGAGGAACATATAGATTCAGTGATAAAAACTAAATCTTGTTTAAGAAATTCTCCATCATGGGAACGAAATTAGCATGAAATTTTATACTTGAAAAGCTATCATCATATATATTATGTAGACGGTAAAAATCTACGGTTACAAAAAGGATGGATCCTGTGAGATTGAGGACATTAACAACTCGCTGGACCTGCACACAAGGAGAAACAAGCGTGAAACTTTCAGGAAACACTAGGGTGGTGTTTTCCGTAGGCACTTCAACACTCAAGTCAGCAAGGTTGAAAGATGCAATTTAGTAAGGATTAAGGGAAATAAGGATTATCGGGAGTTTTGTCAAAGACTAGAGCTACGATGAAGGTGTATATTCTTAGGAGTAAGAACTTTAGGAGCAAGTCGGTGGTAATGATATTGCATGCTTTGTGAGAGGACAAGCCTCTATTTATATAGTGAACCCAAAAGGTTGGAATCCTAATAGGACTCTAAGTCATTCTTTGGGAGATAGTCTTCATTAGGAAAGAAATAAGATTTCTTGCCCTTATCAGATTAAGCTTACCACTTTTATTAGATTCAGGATCTTGACTGAAGTGGAAACAGAATAGGATATGATTCCTATTTATGGACTGTTGTGGACTAATGGGTTGGACCTAGTTTAGCTTAACTCGTAACTCGTAAGATAGTTCAACTTATATAGTAAACAATTCTCCAAGTGAATTTAGGCGTAGGCCCAATCGGAATTGGGTTAAGGCATTGGGTCGTAACATGTTTACTTAGAGACGATTTTATCCCATACATATTTAAAAAAAAAATGGTATTGAAAATTGAAAATACTTTATTTCGATTTTTTTATTTCTAAAATACTAAAATAAGTTTAATCTATGATTAAAGAAACATAATTTGTATAATGAATTGAAGAAAAATGGTTGGTTTTATTTGTTGCTCTATAATCCAAAGATGTCCTAATATAAAAGAACATGATCAACTCTTCTTCTTCTTTGAATCTTCTTTCATTTTCATAGTTCAAGTTTAAACAAAGAGAAATATGTAGTTAGCTCAGCTCAATGTAGCTTAGCATTCACATCGACAGCTTCAAGGTAGTTAAGGTTCAATTGTTAATTAGCTGTTACTACTTTATGAACAAATAGAATAACGAAAACCAAAATAATAGTAAACACACAAACCATAAACAGTAAAGAGAAAGAAGAAATACGCATGATTTTACCCTAGTTCACTCAATTAACAGGCTACGCCCAATTGAGTCAATGTTATTGCAATACTGTTTCAATTCTCTCTCATTTACAATGAATGTAACTTACACAAGGAAAGAATGTTTATATTCTAGATTTAAAAAACTAAATCCTAGTATTACAAGGATCTATATTCCTAAGCTCAAACACAATAAAGAATTAATAACTTAAAAAAATCTTTTTACGGTTATACATGGAAAATGCTCAAACCACCTATAAGTTGGGGACCCTGAATGCGTTTGCATGACCCATTAATGATAAAGTGGTCGACAACTCTAACACTTTACAGTATATTTAAAATATGATAACAATTATATTTATCAAATATTTTATTAGAATTTGATTTGTAATGAATAAACTATCTAAAATTGATAAATAAATTTCAATTATCTTATACTATTACAGTAACAATCACTTTATGAAAAGTAAAAAGTAAAATAGAAATTAATTTACTTATTTTTATTCATGAACCTAAAAGCAATAAAGAAAAATAAAGAAAAAAAACCTGTCCCTAAGATGCCCACGGTGTAATCACATGATTGTCAAAGTCAAGAAAGAAATATGGCAGACAACTTCTGCTAAAGTAGAAATAATGGAGAGAGACTAAGAAAAAGAAATCAGTTCATAATTGTAATGAAATTTCCACCAAAGTTCCTGTAAGGTTGCTGGTATTTTCTCTACAAGAGTGAGTAAAGAAGAGAGAAAAATCGGGTAAAGCAATTCTGCATCGGCTCACTTGTACAAAAACACCCTCAAAGATGTAAGATTTTTACATTTTCTTTTAGTTTCTTTTGAAATATTACTTAATACATTCATCAGTATTGTTCTCCAAATATTTCTTTGGAATAATTTTACAGTGCAACCGCTTTTAGTTCATATCTGGCTTCACATACTTTCTCTGGAGCAATTACATCTCACTGCAAAACAATAAGATCTGGATCCCTTGGTTAGTTCAGTAACATATATACTTGGGTTTTTTTTTTTTTTTTTTTTTTATATATATTCTATTTTTCTTTAATTTTATAATTTTTTGAAAATGATCATCTATGTTTCAAACATGTTGAACATGTAGTCAGAGTTAGTTGAAGATTACTGATATTAGAGCGTCCAAATTTGTTCCATTGGTTGGAACGTCAGATCCGAACTTCCAAGGCTAACTAAAAGGAGTAAGTAGCGCCTTATTATTCCTGGAATTTTTGTTTTCTCTCCTTATAAACTACTTATTCACATCTCTTTTAATTTTTAGATGGTAAAAAGGTGATATCATGTTTTTTAATTTATAATTAAAAAGTAATAATACAATAATCAAAATATTTTTCTTTGTTTTCTCTATTTTCAAGATTTATTTATCAAAAGCAGAAAGTTTTTTTTTTTTTGTTATTGTTATTAATGATTTATATATCATTTTAATTTTGTTTTTAGAATTACTATAAATATTAATGAAGTATTTAATAATTATATATTAAATCATAATTTTTTATTTTGAAAATCTATCGAAGTGTGTGTATGAAAATAAGGATACTGCAAAACCCTTAAAAGTTGTATGTTTCTCACTCTCTTTGATTTCTTAAATCTATTTTTTGTTCTTTTTAAATAGTTTGAATTAGTTTATATATGTATTTTTGGTTAGCTTATTTGATTTTTTATACCTAATATTTTTCTTTGTTTTTTTTTTTTATTATAAATTGTTACCAAACAGATGCATTTATGTTTCAAACAAGTTTAATATTTTGTTGATTCTTGATACTCATAGTCTCTCAAACCAGTGTTGATCTTCAATTTCCAATAGCTAGTGCAAATCTGATCTTCTAGGACTAATTAAAAGGTACGTGGCTCTTTTTTTTTTTGTAATTTTTTTTTTTTTTTTTTTTATTTTTTATATAATTAAAATTGTAATATCATTTTTTTTTAATTTATAACTAAGAAGTAATAAAAAAAAAAAAAAAAAAAAAAACTTTTGTCCTGTTTTCTATTTTCAAGATTTATTTAACAAAATCAGAAAGTAATTTTTTTTTTTTGTTTTTCATTAAATTTTTTTTTTTTTTACTTTTAAAATAAATCATTTTTTAGGTATATTAATTATGCATTTAATTATTTTATATTAACTTATAATAATATTTCAAAGAGTTAAAATGGGGAAAATTATTAAACATAAGACTTCTAATTACTTTAATTTTTTTTTTTTTCTCTTATTCATTAATTGTCTACAAACTTAAACAGATCTGAAAAGTCTTTCATCAGTGGAGTTTGATGGCAGCTTCTTCATCTTCAACCACTCCTCAATTGAAGAACTATGATGTCTTTCTTAGTTTCAGAGGCCAAGACACCCGCTATAATTTTACAAGCCATCTCTATGAGGCTTTGTGTCGCAAAAAGATTGAAACTTTCATGGATGACCAACTGATAAGAGGAGAAGAGATTTCGTCATCTCTTTTGAATACAATTAAAGCATCAAAGATTTCTGTCATCATTTTCTCACAAAATTATGCGTCTTCAAGATGGTGTCTCCAAGAACTTGAACAGATTCTTGATTGCAAGAAAACGAAGCAGCAGATTGTACTACCAATTTTCCATAAGGTAGACCCATCTCATGTAAGGCATCAGAAAGAGAGTTTTGGGAAGGGATTTGCTGAACTTCAAGACCGTTTTAAGGAACAGCCGGAGATGCTGCAAGGATGGAAGAGTGCGTTGAACGAAGCAGCTAATCAATCTGGTTGGACTATAGATGCAAAAACGTAAGTGTTAATCTGCATATAATTTTGTACTCATCAATATTACTTCTTTTTTAAAATCTAACAAGATCGGTTATTTAAAATCTTTGTATTGGTTTTTGTGATCTTTTTTTCCTGTCTCCTTTTGATTTTCTTATCCTAAGTAATTAATGTTCGAATTTTTTCTATTTACTAGGTATGAAACTGAACTCATAGATGAAATTTCATGTGATATATTGAAAAGACTAAATAAATTGTCTCCAAGTGGTTATGAAGACCTGGTTGGAATAGAATTTTCAATAAACAAAATAGAGTCTTTGTTGCACAAGGGATCAAATGGTGTTTCCAAAATAGGAATTTGGGGCATAGGAGGTATAGGCAAAACAACTATTGCTAGTGTTGTATTCAACAAAATCTTTAAACAGTTTGAAGGATGCTATTTTGCTGAAAATATTAGGGAAGAGTCGGAGAAAAATAGTAGATTAGTTCACTTGAAAAAAGAAATTCTTTCCGTGATATTAAATGATAGAGATGCCAATATAAGACTCACCTACTCAAGAGAAAGACTTCAAAAACAGAAGGTTCTTATTGTTTTTGATGATGTGACGTCTTCACAGCAAATAGAAGATTTGATTGGAAACCTTAACTTGTTGAGCTCGGAAAGTCTAATTATCATAACAACAAGAGATAAACAAGTGTTGAGAAATTGTGATGTAGACGATGCTTATATATAAGAGGTTGAGGGATTAAGAGAGAAGGAAGCTCATCGACTTTTTAATCAGTATGCCTTTAGACAATACCCTCGTACTACAGAATATATGGAGCTATCAAAGAAAGCAATAGCATATTCTAAAGGCGTTCCATTGGCTCTTAAAATGTTGGGTTCCTATTTGCTTTCGAAGGAAATAGAAATTTGGGAAAGTACAATAAAAAAACTAGAAAAAGGTCCTCTTTCGAGTGTTCATAATGTATTAAAAGTTAGTTATGATAGACTTGAGAAAGACGAAAAGATTATATTTTTAGATATTGCATGTTTCTTTAAAGAGGAACATATAGATTCAGTGATAAAAACCCTAAATGCTTGTGGCATTTTTGCAAAGCAAGGAATAAAAGATCTTATTGATAAGTGTCTTGTGTCCGTGAGATACGACAAAATAACAATGCATGATTTACTTCAAGAAATGGGTAGAGAAATTGCTCGAAATGATACTTGTAAAGAAATTCGATTGTGGCATCACGAGGATATCTTCGAAGCATTTGAAGAAAGATAAGGTAAGGGTTAGCTGTATGGATATTTAAATCGATAGATGGCTTGAGAGTAATCCGCTCACATGTTTACACAAATTTTAAATTAAAGTCCCATTTAAGGATAAATTTAATGAGATATCATGGTGTTTTTATTATTATTATTACTATTGTTTTTATTATTATTATTATTTTATTTTATTTCTAATAAAGACTTATTCAATATTGTTATTTATTTTCAAATTGAATATTTATTATTTTCCTTTGATGTATGGACACAATCTCCTAATTCAGATTTTATATTAAAATAATGTGTCGTCTATACAAAGAAAGCATAAATACATCAAAAGGAAATATATCATGGATACATTCTATCTTCATATATATACATAATCTTACTTATCAAGCATTATTGTTATGATTGTTATTGTTATTGTTATTATTATGTTATTGTATTAATATTATTGTTATATTTATTATATTTTTAGATACCAATTAGTACTGCATATTTGAAATCCGTAAATCTTTATTTGTTTTAGTCATCTCAATGTTTTTATTCATTATGAGAGTATTTGTATGTAAATTATTTATAATTTATTTTAAAAAATATATAAGTCGTTTAAGACGTATGAAGCTTAAATTAATTTAATAAGCTTTTGTATCTTTTGACTATTATTAGGAGATTGAAGCAGTACGAAGCATAAGCTTGGATATGTCTAAAATAAGCAATGCAAGGTTAGATTTTCGTGCTTTGTCAAAGATGCGTAAACTCAGATTCTTGAGAGTATACAACTCACAACACGGAGAAGACAATGCGCAGAGAATCTTTAGTTTATGCAATCATGGAAATGAGTTGAAAGTTTTTCAACACCTTCAATCCTTTCCCAATGGCCTAACATTCTTCAGCTTGAGTGGATATCCATTTAAGTCAGTGCCAAAACATTTTCTTCCAAAGACTCTTGTCAGACTTGATATGCCATTTAACAAAGTTAAACATTGGAATGGTGTTGAGGTATGTATTTTTGTATTTATATGGTGGTCTTTTTGTCAAAAATTATAAATATACAAGGCACTAATTTGAGTTGGTCATTTGTTTGCTTTCTTGTAGGAACTTGAAAATTTGATAGATGTTGATCTTAGTTTCTCTCAACACATGAAAGAGCTTCCAAATCTCTCAAAAGCCACAAATCTTCAGTCATTGAATCTAAGTTATTGTAAAAGTTTGTTGAAGATCACTCCCTCATCTATTCAAAATCTCAATAAGCTTGTCAATTTGGATCTATACGGTTGCTCAAGGCTTATTAGTCTACCAGATGGCATTCAATCCGAACGTATTGATCTCAGTTACTGCAATGATCTGAAGATGGCTCCAAAGATCTCATGTAAGGTGGAAGTATTACTTTTAAGGGAAACTTCAATAAAAGAATCACCCTTCATCGAACAGCCATCGAGACTAGTTGAGTTGGATCTTTCAGAATGTTCATCGCTTGAGACTCTCTCAAGCAGCATCTGTAAGGTGAAATTCCTCAAAGAACTTAATCTTTTCGGCTGCTCCAAATTGGAAAGATTACCCGATGACTTTGGAGATTTAGAAGCTTCTGGTTTCGTCATAAAAGAAGTACCAACATCCATCACTTCTAGTATTACCTCATCAAATTTGAGCTCTTTGAAACGGCTTTTTTTGACACACTGTCAAATCAACAAATTACCTGACAATCTTGGCCAGTTATCCTCTCTAGAAGAGTTACATCTAGATGGAAATTATTTTGAGAGCATACCAGAAGACATCAAAGGGCTTTCTAAGTTGTACATCCTAGAGATAAGTAAATGTCAAAGACTTCAACATTTGCCAGAGCTTCCAGTGGGTGTAAGTGTGGCCGCATGTGACTGCTCATCCTTGCAATCAATATCAGATCCATCATTTCTATTGTTACCTCATTTGAGATCACGAACATCAATTTTTTCCAATTGTTTCAAATTGGATTTACTTAAAATTCTTCGCAAGGTATCTCTTTATATCCTTTCTCCTTTTTATGATGTTAGTTGTTTTTTAGAAGTAATAGAAAAGAAAAAATAAAATCTAAAGCTAAAGCTAAAACTATGTTATGATGTGATGATTTTCATTTTCTTTGGTACAGGATTCTTGTCGAGAATTTTGTGCTAATTTTTGCGTCTCTGGAAATGAAATTCCTAAGTGGTTTACCTTTCAAAATACGAGATCTTCTATAACTCTTGATCAGTCACTAGATTGGCATAATATTAACTTTCGAGGTTTTCTTACATCTATTGTTGTTTGTCCAAAAACGGACAAGTATAGTATTTATCTTTGCATCAGTGTTACCTTTTACCGCTTGGTCAAAAGCGAAGATGGTAAAGAACAAATTTATAAAAATGACAGTGAATACTGGTGTGATGATTTTGGTGAGGGTGGTCACACGGTTGTCATACTATCTGAACGGGACTTGTCAGATTGTGTATTATTCAGTTTTCGTTCTATAACAAAAATGGTGTTTGAAGAGTGCGATAAGGAATATCATGAAATTTCTTCTGAGATGAAGTCATTAGATTGTAAAGCACTCATCAAATTTAATCCTAAATATGATGATCATTTCGAGGTGAAAAAATGTGGGATCCATTTGTTGTACGATGAAAATTATAGAGAACCATTGAAAACCTCCAGAAGAAGTTTTGACAATGCTAAAAAAAAGAGGAAAGAGAAAGAGAAAGATGAACTACAATCCAATAAGTTGCAAATTTCAAATTCCTTTGATGGTATAAACAGCTTAAGGTAAATAGTAAAGGTTTATTTTCAGCTCAATAATATTTTTCAATTCTTTTAATTTATTTTGTCCAATAAAAAGTAATTATATATATTTCAATCAGTATTAAATTTTATGTGGCATTCTGAAGTCATGTAATAGATCTACACATCATTTATAGAGTCTTACTAATAATACAAAATAAAAATCATTTGAGATTTTATTTTATATCAAATTTCATGTCAACTGTTGTTTTTGTTGTTTGCTTGACTTAATCTGTTGTTAATAGGCGTTGTTTCACGTCAATTTGTCCACCACGGCATCGGAAATTGAGCACTCATCATCCATTGAAAGGCAATGCTCCATTGCCCAAATCGATAGCATTGGTAAGATCTAAACATTTGGTTACCAAGATACAAATGCTGTCCTATTTATTTAACATTATTTTTGGCTTCTCTACTATTGTAGGATACTACTTGTTATCTTACCGTAGATTCCCCCGCCAACATTGTGGCGAAGGGAACTATTATGGAATATGAAGGTTCCAATGTATGGGTGACCATGGATGTGGTGTTTGATGGGAGCCCATATCTCCCATTCCCAAATGAGGAAAATTTTTTGGTGAAGGTAAGTGATGGGGTTGGCCATCGTCTACTTTGGCCAAAGGAGCTAATAATACGAGCAACGGACATGGTAAAGACTTCAATCATCAACTAATTTGTTCCAAATAAGCTGTGTTTGATTCATCCTTTTATGTTTTTAATATTGACTTGTTTTTTAATGTCTATTAGGTTTCTAAGAAAGTTGTTAAGAAGAAGTATGCAACTCCAAAAAAAGTGCCTAAGAAATCGGAATCTGTGTATGACAAGGTAGATTTTGATATGGAGATTGAGGACATTGACCCATTGGGTAATGAATTAGCGATCACACCCGTTAAGTCAAAGCCCCAACAAATGAAGGTGGACAAGAAGCGCACAAATCTTGGGAAGAGAAAGGCCAAGGTGATGCCATTGAAAATGAAGAAAATACGACAGTCAGTGGTACTTGAGAGGGATATAGTACAACACAATCCTTTTCTGAAGATATTCTCAATAGTGGTTAATCGCCTTATACCCAATAAACAAACAATTCGTGTACAAACAGATGACAACTTGTTCCAAATAAGTTGTGTTTGATTGATCCTTTTATGTTTTTAATATTGGCTTGTTTTTTAATGTCTATTAGGTTTCTAAGAAATTTGTTAAGAAGAAGTATGCAACTCCAAAAAAAGTGCCTAAGAAATCGGAATCTGTGTATGACAAGGTAGATTCTGATATGGAGATTGAGGACATTGACCCATTGGGTAATGGATTAGCGATCACACCCGTTAAGTCAGAGCCCCAACAAATGAAGGTGGACAAGAAGCGCCCAAGTCTTAGGAAGAGAAAGGTCGAGGTGACACCATTGAAAATGAAGAAAATACAACAATCGGTGGTACCTGAGAGGCATATAGTACAAAACAATCCTTCTCTGAAGATGTTCTCAATAATGGTTAATCGCCTTATACCCAATAAACAAATAGTTCGTGTACAAACAGATGACAACTTGTTCGGGTATGATAGCTATACTTACCTAACTAAGGAGGATTTTGAAAGAGTGCTTAATATGGAGGAGTTGACAGCATCATGCATCACAGTTTATATAATGTGAGTTGTTTGGTTATAGTATTGATTATGATTTAGTCTTCATTAAGTGTTATATTGCATATGATTATTATTTTAGTATGTTTTTTAATTGGGGCAGGGGTTCATATGAGAAGTTGAAGGTTAATGGTGGCGATGGAAATGGATTTGGTTTCATTAAGTGTTATATTGCATATGATTATTATTTTAGTATTTTTTAATTGGGGCAGGGCTTTATATGAGAAGCTGAAGGTTAATGGTGGCTATGGAAATGGATTTGGTTTCATGAACCCCAACGCATTGTCTATAGCAGGCAGCAATAATGTCATGGGAACAAGAACCCAAAGGGCACAATTGCTTGCCAATCAGTTGGCAATTGTTAAGAACGAGAATTTAATTCTAATTCCATACAACCCAGGGTTAGTAATTCTTTTATTTCCTTACATTGGGTTCTTGTTTATAGATTATTCTACTACTTCTTTGTTGTTGTTACATTGGGTACTTATCAGGTTTCTTAATAGGTTTCATTGGGTTCTTGTTGGTATTGATATGAAGACATTAATTGTGTACTATCTGGATCCCTTGAGGGGAGATATGGGACAGGATTTACAAGAAGTGGTGCAAAAGTTAGTAGCCCTACTTATGTCATTTTTTATGCTTTATATAATATAAATTTCTGCTCGTTAATTTTAGACATTGTTTTTAACTTTCACAGTGGTATCTTCATTCATTCCGCCTGTAAAGTGTCCAAAAAAAGGGCTACTATCACATGGCAAAAAGTATTGGTGCGTAGAATTGTTATTATCAATAGCAATTAATTTTCCATTATAATAGTGTTTTACCTTTTGAATAATGCTTACTTCTAAATTAATTTTGTGTAGGGACCAATCCAACCGGGAAGCGTTGAATGTGGGTTTTATGTAATGAGATACATGAGAGATATAGTTGATAATGGGTTGGCAGTACTGAAAAACCATGCAAGTTTACTATCCATTTGGATTTCAATAAGTGTTAGTGTTGGTTTATTATATATTGATTAAGGAGGTTTCAGAATATCATACATAAATGTTGAATGGTGTTGATAATTTTAGGTTGTGTTAAACTGATGTATTGGCTGAATTACTACCAATATTGATATACATATTGAAGAGTATTTGTTTGATTGTTCTGTGTTGCTTATTGTGTTTATATGAAATTTTTATCTGTGTCGGTTGTGGAATTCTGGAATTTGTGTTTTCTGGGATCTGAGTGAGTTGTGATTGAAGGTGAGAACTAGGTTTTCATCAATGTTTTGTAGTTGTATATATACTGAATTTATCTACGTTTAATCTTTTACAGTTTCTGGGGAAAGAAGTATACACAGATGCGGAGATCGATGAAGTAAGAGGAGAATGGGCAATGTACGTATCAAACTTTTTTTAGTTATTGATGTCAAAGCATCAATGACGGAAAAAATATGTATCAAACTTTTGTTGAATGATATACTACTTTTGTTGAATATCGTTTACTAAATTAATTGAAAGATTGTTGAATGTTTAAATTTATTTATGAATTGTGATAATTGTTGTTGGTTGAGGAATATTATGAAGAATTTCAGTGTATTATTCTATTATTTAACTGGTGATAATATGGAAAATAAACTAATTACAAAATAAAAATATTTAAAAAAATACTTACAAAAACAATTATTGACAATTTGAAGACTGTCAAGGATGGAAAATTATTATTAATAAAATTTTTATTATTATTATTATTCAAAACAATTTTATTTATTTTTGGTTAAAAATTCTTGACAGTTCGAAGACTGTCAAGGATTGGTTAAAATTCGACCAAATCTTTGACAGTTTTATAACTGCCAAGAAATTATTGACAGTTCAAAAACTGTCACCACCCTTTCTTGATAAGAGCTTTAATGACAGGTGAAAAACTATCAAAAATTCTTGACAGTTATTACCCGTCAAGAAAGGGTTTTTTTTTCTAGTAATTGTGGCTGTTTTGATGATGAACAACGATCTTGTGGCATCTCCACCACAAGAGATTGGAATTTTAATAGCTTTGTTTTACCGGATCTGAAGCAATTCCCTGAAGATTTTGTTGAATCAATGGTGAATGTTGCCACAATTAACAAAAGTGGTTGTTTCGATGATGAACAACAATCTTCTGGCATTTCCACCATAAGAGATTGAAATTCTAATAGCTTTGTTTTATCGGATTTGAATTAATTCCCTAAATATTTTTTTCAATCAATGGTGAATGTTACCACAATTAATAGAAGTGGTTGTTTCGATCATGAACAACAATCTTCTGGTGTTTCAACCACACGAGATTGGAATTCTGATAGCTTTGTTTTACTAGATTTGAATCAATTCTTTGAAGATTTTGTTGAATCAATGGTGAATGTTGCCACAATTAACAAAAGTGGCTATTTCGATGATGAACAACAATCTTGTGGCATTTCCACCACAAGAGATTGGAATTCTAATAGCTTTGTTTTACCGGATTTAAATCAATTCCCTGAAGANTTGACTGTAAATTGAATTAAAATTTGTTTAATTTTTTTGGTTTTCATGAGGCCTTTTTATGTCTATTAGCCGCTTATAATGCATTCCACAATAAGATACACTAAATTGCGTTGAGTTTTGTGATATCTTGAATATGGATAGAGTCAATAGACTGATATAATCTCCTAGCATAACGTCTGGAAATTAGTAAATTCTGAAAGAGAAAGAAATTAATGGATTAAACTGAATATAATTAGGTGGATTCTCGGTAGTTTTAGTATTTTGAGACAAAGATTCATGTCATCTTCTTATTCAAAGTATACAGAATATATAATCAGCTACAGTTATTATTTTGTTAATTCTATCTGATTGTGAGAAAGCAACTTAGACTATAGAATATTTTAATCTTCCCTTGAGACTTACAGCCAAATTGGAGGCTATGTTTATACGGTTAGCATATCCTATACATATTAAGTTAGGCTAATGTATTAAGTTGTCTAATGTTATAGTCCTTTCAAGGTAAAAATGAATCAAGACAGCATATTCTTGCACCATTTGTTCAAGCATGTTCTCTTGGGGTAACTGAGAATTTGAATTCTTCATTAAATTCCAAACTGCCCAAAATAGGGAGCCCGCGAAACAATGAAGTAAAGGTAATTAACATTTTCTGGCTGATTTTATGTCTTATTCTGCAGAAAATGGTCATTTTTGTGCACCTGAGTTCAANTATGAGTATACTGGTAAGTCCTAGCTCTAAATTACTTCTTAGTTCTATATATCTAATTTTGCTTATATTATTTATGTGGACGTGATTGATTGTAATCAAGATCTATATATCATAAGCTAATTAACTAATTATATTCTTTATTAATTGTCCAATAGGTGAGCAAGTTGAAAGAATTTTTATTCCGATGAGAAGAATCGATTATATGTATCATGTACGAAGATGCTACATTGTTTTCTAGTAATACTGAAACTATAATCTTAAGTTCTCATTTATTAATTATCTATTTTTAAATTAGAGATCTACTTAGAATATGGAAATATGTATATTATTATTTTTGGATATTATTTGCAAACATTGTCTTAATTTGCTCATGTTATTGGATCCAAATGTTATATAAGTTAGAAAGAAGCAAATTGTTCAAGGAAAGAGTTACCAAAGTTAAAACCAACGAATATTTTTTTAACTTTGGAAATGATTTAAAGGAAATTAATAGAGACCAACTAATATATTGTCTTGAGTAAAAAAATTCAAAATCCGAATTAACTGTCATACCATGAATGATTATAAAAATATATAATTCTACTTGCAAAGTTTATTAGTTTAACTTTGACTTAATATTTGAATGTTATAGCATGAGGAGGTTACTCTATTTTGAATTTTACTTGACTTTTATCTGCCGGTAATCCTCCATTATTCCAATAATGTCATCTTAAATTACGGACATTATCATGTTTGGTTGTTAAGTAATAAAAGATTATGGTAATCCTCTAATACTAATATTAGTAACCATTGTAGATTATATAGGAGGTAATCTTTTCTTAGGTATTCTAAGATTATTCGGTAATCTTAATTTTATTACAATTTTACCCCCTAATCAATAAAAATTTTGGACAGTAATGCCCCTATTTTGAAAACAATTTATAAAAATATTCATGGACTATTCTATCCTTATACGCAAGATTTTTAAGACATTATTACTTTTGTACTTCCACCAAATTACATCCCCAAATTAATTTGAGATAAGTGTCATGCCTTTTAACATCGACGGCTAGGGACTACCAGAATCCAGCACCACCGCCACATTGACGCTCCCTCTTCCCATGTTGTTTGCTCCATTCTCTTGCTCCAACAAACTTGGTCAGATCGAAGATTGAACTTGAAACGTTGCGGCTATCAATCTGACTGGCCAAATACAGCCAACAAGAACTCGGCCGATCACATAGCCTCCTACAAGCAAAGAATGATTAGCTTGATGGATTTGTTATTTTTGAGAGATCTAGTGGTTTAATTTGGGGACAAGATCACAAACAAGCAGCAAGCCCTCGATGAACTCCAAGCTCATCAGGATGAGTAAGAGATTGGGAAGGAGAATCTCCATTCTCCACTGTTGTGCTTCGTGCACCTCTCTCACCAAGATTCAAAATGCCTGACGTGAGGGTTTTTGATGGGAATGGCGATCCTTAGGCTCAGGACCATTTGGACTTCTTCAACGACCAGATGGAGCTATGCTAGGTCTCAGATTCGGCCAAATGTCGCTACCTAACTGTCACTCTTACCACGGGAGCAAAAAGCTGGTTCAGATCGCTCCCCTCTGGATGCATATCCTCTTGAAGGAAACTAAGTTTGTAGTTCCTCAAACATTTCCAAGCAAATAGGAAATTTTCTATGCTTCTAAGCTACCTGGGCAACATTTGACAAGAAAGGGACGAGGCACCAAAATTCTACGTGGAAAGATTCAACTTTGGGTTAAATGAAAGATTTAACTCTAGGTTAAATAGTGTGACCAATGCTCCTAAATAATCAGCGTGGACACTTATCATTGCCAGAGTTCAACCGCAGACTGACCTGTGAAAGGAGCTCCAAGTCGAGGACTATGTATCCCTTGCCCGATTTCCTAAGATGGCTAAGAAGCATCTATGAATAGAAAATTTTATGGTCAGATTGAGACACAACGACTCCAGAGCCTCAACCAGTACTCATGTTCGGATTGAGGATCGATCGAGAGAGAAAAGAAAAGATGTCCGAGACAGAAAGGATGACGGGAACAAGAGGAAATTCTCCAAGAAAGAGCAGGTAGAGTCTAGAAAGACACTCGCACCATTCTCCCATTACAGTGACTACACTCCTTTAGTTGCTTCCCTGGAGTGCTTTTTGTCGTTTCTAAGAAAGCAAGGCTAGTCTCAAAGCCAGTCCTAATCAGGAGAATCGTAATAGGCGTGACCCCAAAAACTATTGTTGTTACCATCGAGACATCGAACATAACATCGATGAATGTGGCGTCCTTAAGGACGCGATTAAAGATCTAATAAAGATGGGTCACTTGAAAGAATTTGCCAACGATCAGAGAGGCCGTAGGGACCGATGTTACGATGATGAGTGGTGACAAGGTCCCTAGGGAGAAGTTAATGTGATCCGAAAAATCTTTTGGGACCCTATGTTGGAGGCAGTTACAACCACTTCCAAGACCTATATGCGAGGGAAGCGAGGTATGAGCCCTCCACTAGTGTTTTTAGCCTCGAGTTGCAACCAGCTAAGTGTCCAAGTGTAGAAGCTAAAAC